TGTTTTCATCAAGATTTTTACCAAGAAAGCTCTAGGAGGAGTTCACCCTGAAACGCATGGTGAGCTCCACAGATCTGCTTGCTGGCTGCCCTCCTTCAGATATTTAGAACCAAGATTTAAATGGCCTCTTTAAAGAACTTACAAAGGTAAAATCATTATCTTAGATTATAAAAGTTCAGCACACCTACTGATGCTCCTCCGCCCCCATGTTTTGATTCACTCAACAACATCACCAAGAAACACAGTGGTAGAGTCCGTAAAACAACAATCTCCCTTTTGAACAAGGACCTATTATTTAGTCAGGTCAGTGGCAACTAGGAAAAACAACAACAATTAATTAAAGATCACAAGTAAATCATCATTTCACAGAATGTTAAATATGTGTGTGTGTGTGTATGTGTGTGTGTGTAGTTCTCACAGCTCACATTTTGCTGACTACAAGTCCTTACCTTGTTGAATTCAAAAGAACAACAACCATAATCATTAGGCAGCACAATCAACCCTGCCTGGAAATCTAAGTTAAAACATAAACTTTTATTTAGAAACTGTAAGGAAGGGTGACCTAAATCAATAATGTGACATTTAAAATGCATAGGAATTCCAAAATCTGCATTCAGATAAAATGATGATAACAAGAAGGCTACCACACACATCTACACAGTACCATACACTTATAAATCAACAAAGAAAAGTAGCTGTTTAGAATGCTGTTGGTTTCTTTCTAATAAAGAAGAATAAAAAGCAAAAGCGCAAAGACATTTTTTTTGCTAGTAAGAGTAATGAGCTGATAAACACCCTGTAACAATAAACCAGAGAATTAAATATTTAAATTTTTATTTAATTATTTAGATGTTCAAGTCGAAGCTTTTCAAGCAGTGAAATAATTAGCCTATTTTCTTAATGAAGACTATAGCTATTTAGGAAGCTGAATTTTAAAATGTCTAAGGATTCTTCTGCTATAACATGAATATTGAAATTTTTATCGAAAAAATTTTTTTTTGTATTTTCAACAATTCAATACGCCAACTACTGATTACTTACTGTACGGCTTTTGCTCATAATTTTAGAAACTAAGGTTTAAGATAAAACTCATTTCTAATGGCTCTATTATGTACAGCTAAAGAAAAAATTCTGAGAATTTTACTTTTAATAAAAAGCTCAGCAAAGCACGGTGACTTCAGATTTAGGTTTCAAACTTCTGAAAAATCTTCAAACACCATTCTTAACAGATTTCCACAGAGCAGCCTTGTACAAATTACACAAGTTAAGTCTGCTTCTTTATGTTGACTCGCCCACAATTCACTCAAAGGCACTCTGCCTAGTGAAGGTTCTGCGACTTGAGCCAGGATAAAATGACTTGAAAGGCGAATAAAAAAGTCATTGAATTGGGTGTTTCTTTCCATCACAAAGTACTATGGTGGGGCCTCCTAGAGGAGATGTCAGAATACTCCTAGGGCCCGTGAGGAAAGGGCAAGATGCGTTTAGGGTGCTCCGTGGGACTGGAGGGGCCTGTTGGTAGTTGCAAATTGGGCTGTGATCCTAAAGGTTAGAAGATTGAAACAGCCAGGGGCTCCTTGGTAAGAAAACATGGCTCCATGTGCCATTCTACCCTGTCCTATAGGGTCGCTATGAGTTGGCATCACCTGATGGCAGTGAGTTTGAAAAGGGACTGAGGAACCCAGGTGAATGCAATCAGGAAGAGACAGGACTTCAAGCCAAGCTCAAACCCCAGCTTCTGAAAGAAAAGTTGAAGGGAATGGAAGGTCCAAAACTCAGCTAGCCTGAGGGAGACGTCTAGGCTCAGAATCAACACCAGTGTGATTTCATGAAAGCCAACAACACATGAGAGACCAGAAAAAGAGAAGGCGCTGGGCAAGATTGATTAACACAAGCACAGGGGCTGCAACAATGGGCTCAACCCTAAGAACAATTGTGAAGATGGTCTAGGTCAGGACCACAGAGTAGCATTCTGTTGTATATAAACTTGTTATGGGTCAGAGCCAACTCAAGGCACTTAACAGCAACAATAATACATGAAATGTTCTAGAAAAGAAAGTACATTAAAAATGCCTTGGCCCTAAAGAAGTAGGGTGTGTGTGTGTGTGTGTGTGTGTGTGTGTAAAAGAGCTTTCTTGTGGAAAACAGCCCAGTGCATAACCACTACACTACCAGGGATCCTTCTGCAGGAAGGGGGAGGGCCTAATTATTTGCAGCCAGGCCAGAAGTAATCTGACATTCATTGATCTCAGTAAAGGGGAAAGGTAGAGTTCAATCAATTACTTTGCATAATTAGCTAAGGCTATTTTTTTCTGTTTTCAGGTTATGATTTTAAAATAAATTTGTCTTGTGAGTTGGCGAAGGTTTATAGAGCAGATCACCAGTTTTACATTCAAGAATTCATAAACCTTTTGTTTCAGCTCATTCATTGCCCTCTCCTAAATGTGGCGTCTCTTCTGCTTCTTCCGTTTATTGTTTCCATCCTTCCTCCTTTCCTAAGCCTTCTGAACTTTGTAGGCAAATGCTGCCCACCCCCTTTTGATCTCAAATGGTTGATCTTTTAAGGTCTGTGTACCTCATTAGTGTTACTGTCCCCCTTAAAGACCTGTCTATTGTTTGGTTGAGAACGGAGTCATGGTGGTGAGTTCATTTCCAGGCTTGAAGGGTGGGTAGGTGCCAGTCTCAGAAGTTCCACCAGGCTCTAACCAACCAATAAGCTTGGTTTCTTTAATAATTTTGAGAATTTTCATACATTTTCTGCCCACTCTCTCCAGGGCCTTCCAATTTTACCTGTCCCTCTCAGTTGGTAGTGATAGCCAGGTACCATCTGGCTCTTCTGGTTTCAGGGTTTGGATGACTGCTGTGTGGGGGTATATTACCACGAGACTAATGGTTTCACTATCTCTAATTTTCACCCTTCTTTCCTCCAGACAGAAAGACACTAGCACCTTAGATGGCAGATCACAAGCTTTTAAGACCATCGCATTTTCACCAATGTTGGATGTAGAATGTTGTCTGTGTAGATTAAATAGAGGTTGAAATGACCCACTCAGCTTATCCCCCTGAAATGATCTTGAATCTTAAATCCAGGAAAAAATTGCTTTCCTGAGGGCTGCCATTATGTCAAACAATGGTGTGGCTTAATTGGTGAAGAAAATTTTGCCTTGGGGATTGTGTTCTATTAAAGAATTGTCAAATGAGGACCTAATGCTGGGGGCTTAAGTGGAGAGAAGATGTTTGAGAATGATGAGGGCAATGAATGTGCAA